ATTCCTATACCCACCGCGAATTCCATACCCACTTCTCCCATACCCACTTCGATCATACCCCGTCCGAATCCACACCCGATGTCGCGCGCAACCCACACCGCATCTGCCCCAGTCTCCGGCTCCGTCGCGCGCACGGGCCGCTCGTACGACGCGTATCGCGTCCCCCGAGAGCTCGCCCCGGGATTCATGGACAACGGCACCATCTCCGCCAACCACCCGATCGTCCAACAGTTCGTCGCCTTCGCCGCCCGCAAGCTCCTCGCCGCAGAAGCCCTCGACGCCGCGACTGGACACGCTGCTATCGCCGATCGACACAGAAGCCCCAAACACCCCGAGGTCACTCTCTGGCGACTCGAGGAGGGCGGCGTCGCGTGCGTAGGGGACGTCGAGGATGCGCTGGGCGCTCCGGTGCCGGCCCGTCTGGCGGAGGCGATCTTCGCGTTGGCCGCGTTGGCCGTGTACGCGTTCCCGATGCGTCCAGCGCATTGGGCGTTCTGGGCGGAGAATAGCCAGAAGCGAGTTTCGAGGTTGATTCACGGAGTCGTATGTGAGTGTTCTGATTGTGTGTGGTCGACAGGAAGCTGGTTGACTGAGGACCGTGGAATGTCAGGCGCCGACCCGAAGGTCATCCACGTCCCAAACGGGGTGTCTTGGGACAGTGCAGACCGCGCTGTCAAAGACCTACGCTTTTGGCATAAGGGCTGGAGGGAGGAGGACACCCAGGGACCGCTGGAGAGACGCAGGAGTCCTCGCAAGCCGAAGAAGTCTACCAGCGACGACATCCCTCCCTCGAGCGCGACCAAGCAGCAGGTCAAGAACACGAACGGCAAGCGTCCCGCGTCCGACGACGGCCCCTCTCAGTCTAAGAAGAGGCGGCGGAAGGCGAAAGACGACATGGCGGGGACGAATGAGGAGACGGGAACGCCGCGCAGGTCGCGCAGGACTCGCAAGGAGGTGCAGGAAGCGTCATCCTCCACGGCATCTTCTTCCACGGCGCTGGCCGTTGACGACTCCGCGCGTATGGCCGTGGACATGGAGGCGGTCCAGGCAGTCGAGGATACCGAAGCCTCGACAGCTGCAGGATCGCAGAATCCTCCAGCTGCGAAGAGCACGAGGAGGCCCCGAGGGAAGGCCGCGGCGACCAAGAGACCCGCTGCGAAGCGGAAGGCCAGGACTACGCGAAAGGCGCCCTCAGGAGGCTCGCCGTCTAAGAAGACATCACTTTCGGCACCGTCACCAATCACGATCCGCATCCCGCCGCGGTCTGCAACCTCGTCGCCAGCGGTGGCTACGCGCGAGCTGGCGGATGGAGCTCCAGCCTTGACGTGGGACGAGCCGACGGTAGCCGCATCGCCGTGGTCTTCGTGCGACACCGCGGTCGAGCCGTCTACCGGGGTGACTACGCGCGTCGGGACGCCTCAGACGGACTTGGAGGTCAAGGTGGAGCCCGAGAGCTTGAACCCCATAGTGGTCCTGGGGTTTTCAAACTGTTAGACAGCGTCCTCTCATGCGGACACGCCTCGACGTTCTCCGCATGTAGCACTGGTTATTGTATTCTGATAACTTAAACTGTTGTAGCACCATCTGGAAACAAGATGTGAAACTCGCTTCGAGAATGGATTGCAAATAGCGGATGGGACGCTGAGGTCGCTGAGATGCAAGCTGGCGTCGTATTCGTCAGCAATCGATACATGGATGACATCTGAGCACAAAGCTAACACACATCAGCTCGTATTACGCTGCCTGCTCAAGCGATGCGAGGAATGACAGTGATACTCACCGCCACGCGGAAACCGATAGCTTGGACCTGAAGATGATAGCATACGAAGGGGGGTGGGATACGGCAAGGCCACTTTGCGACGTAGTGTAACTTTCGTAAGTACCTCGCCACGGATCTGCTCATCCTCAATTGCACAATCAAAGGCGAAATGCCAACCAAATCGATTCGTTACAGTGGCAGAGTGCAGAACATACACAGAGACCAAAGGCATCGCAAGCAGGACGGGATCTGGGCCGCGCTCGAGACCATGCCCTGTTTGACCTTGACGTAGCGCATTCGCCTCAAAGATGGCGCCCGAAACAAGCGGCCGAGAGTTGATGAATCATACCAGGGAGTAAGCAGGGATGCACGACGACTGGGATGAGCAGGGCCTCCCGCAAACGCAGGGAGAGCTCCGACGGGTCGTCGCGATCATGAACCGGTTGGCATATGCGCAAGCTGGACCGATATCGTTCATCAACACGGAACACGGAAAACGAGTACTGAACTACACACCAACTGGAGTACACCACAGCGAGCCTGAGAGTCAATCCTGCCCGACATAACTACTTGCGCTCTCCATCAAGGTGGCTGTAGGAGACAAGGCTATAGCGAAGGGTACTGTTACGTCTGCAGGAATTTCAACATAGACATGGTTGAGGCGGTGTTTTCAGAGCAGGTGTAGTGGCAGCACGAGATGCAGATGGCTCGCGCAGGTATTGTGGAAACGCTTAGCAGGAGCTGATGCACATGAGGCGCCCATGCGTTGCATGCAGACTCGGAATGGCGAACGCTGAGTACAGCCCGTACAATACCTCTGTCCACGGCGCACGCTATGCTGCACAGTCTCTGCCTTCACTTTTGTACCGTATCTCCCCCTAAGTGGGAGTGACATTCTTTGCACCCCGGTGCCACTTAGGTCTAGCCGCCAATACCAGCAAGTCCCTTGATGGGCTCGCCTACCCGTCCCTCACTCAAGTCCTATTGACATCATTACACAGATCTTTCATACGACTACGGGGAGAAGAGCGTTGTTCTGAAGAGACAGGCGTGAGAAAGTCGGCGAGCTTGTGATTTCTGTGCAAAGGCATACCCTGGAATGACCGCATTCTGTAGGTGATAGCGAAGTGGCGACGTCGTGCTGGATTGTATATTATTATCGTGGCCTGAAGGTACACGCATAATCTGTATTATTTCCCATGTGTTTCGGAGTAACCACCCGTACGACTGGAGATCTACACTCACTTTCCCACCCTTGTGGTACGCGCACGCCCTGATCCTGCAGCCTCAAAAGCTGCGGTATATGAACGGATGTTAGATGAAGCTTATTGACGGGGTTACGAGCCGACTACGGTAGGATCTAATGTAATCAGTGCCTCAGTGGGGAAAAGACTCAGTATTGTATAACTAGGTACCTAATGTAATCTACATGGCGAGGACATGGTCAGTACATATGGGCATACAGCATAGA